TAATATAATTCTTATGATTATCATATTGTGATAATCGGCATCGATCATCCAGTGATCAATGATCATCTGTTTCATTCAGATGGTTTCTTGGTTAGATTTAACCTATTCTATAAAATGATTTTTTGGTGATTTCCTTGTATTTCCCTGTAGACGTAGTTCACTGCTAGAGCCCCCGACAGGTCATAATCCCGACAATCAAATACGTACGTACGTACATGTGACCGGTTGATAATCTGTTATCTTTATATTTCATCCGCATAGTAATCATTTCTTTAGATATAGACCGCTTACTAATAGGTGTATAGTTTAAAGTTTTTTTGTTTTTTTTTTGTTGTTATTTAAACCTGTAACTATTATTATTTTTTTTTACATATATGTTTTCACCACTAAAAGAATAGTCATTAGAATTGTTGTTGTCAGATATTCTTCAGAATAACCATCAATTTTGGTGTTGTATAGTTCTTGAACATATTGTTTCTAAAGCTTTTCCAAGTAGACTTTTTCGTTGGCGAGTTTACAATCTTTTGGTATCTTATAGCTCTTGGACTTTTGGAACTGTCATTTCTTTGGAGTTCGTTCCAGGTAAACTGCGTCACAATTTCTTGTAACATAGATTTAGTTGTGTTGGTGTGAACTTCATATTTGCCTTACAGTTGAAGTGAATTTTGTCATTCGTTTTGCAGTTAGCATTTATTTAATATGTCTACATATCAGGTATCCTTCATGATGTTGATGGAGCTGCCTAGTCAATGACTCCACTGACGGTACCATTTTTTCATTTATTTAAAGTAAGGCATTGCTTTTTTTTTTACTTACATCAATTAATAAAGAGATTCTATCCGGTTAATCAATTAGGGTCACTAGTAATATTTATTCATGTTCTAATTTTTTTTATTTAATTTTTTTTTTGGTATTAAGGTGGCCTCTTTGGCCTGGGGATGTTTTATTAGATGAATAGATATAGTTACAATTACAATGAGAGTACATCAAGCCACATGTGCACTTTTGGTGCCTAATTTAAGTATTAGAAGAATTAAAAGAAAACGAAGAAACAATAAGAACAAGAATAGAGAATTACCTATTTCAAGACCAACAGAA